GGGTGTCTCACTATGTAGTTGAGACTGACCTGGAACTCACTATATAGCCCAGGCTGGTCTCAAACTCACAGCGATCCTCCTGCCTCAACCTCCTGAGTGCTGGGATTACAGACATGCGCCACCACGCCCGGCTATTTTTGTTTTTTTTAAAACAGAGTGTTGCTATGTAGTTCAGGCTGGCCTTGGACTCATTGTGTAGTCCAAACTGGCCTCAAAGGTGCAGTGATCATTCTGCCTCAGCCTCCTGAGTGCTGATTATAGGCGGCTGCCACCATGTCTGGTTTCCTGTTACTTAAGTTGAGTTCTACTTCTGTGGAGTTCATGTCCCTGTGTGGGGGCAGTGCTGGCTGTTGTGCCCCTGGTGCTGGTCCATGGCCCGGAGGACTGAACGTCTCCTGAATGTTTGAATGAAGGGCCAGCAGACCCCAGGTCTCCTCTGACCCCAGGGAAGGAGTGTCCTCCTTCACCTATTCCTGAGTCCTCAGCAGCCCAGGGTGAAAGCAGCTTATTCTGCCTGTCCAGAAACCAAGGGATCTGAGGTCTTCATGGAACTGGGGCTGCTGGCCCCAGTTTCTTTGGGGTTCCACCTACTGTGTAAGGCTGAAGTGGTCACAGCAATGGCCTCTTATACGGAGTCCCTACCACGTGTGGCTCCTGTGCTGTGTCCTTCACGACCATCTAGGAAGAGGCTACTATTACCTTAGCAACAGGTAAGAAAAACAAAGCCCAGAGACCTCAAGTACCTTGCCGCAAATCACATGGCTAATAAAGAGGCTGAGGGCCGGGGATTTGGCTTAGTGATTCTGCCGCTTGCCTCACAGGCACAAGGTCCCAAATTCGAACCCCAGTACAAAAAAAAAAAAAAGAAAAAGAAAAAGAAAAAAAGAGGCTAAGTTAGGACTGGAAACAAAGTCTGCCGGGCTCGCTGTCCCTTATCAAGATAGCATGAGTGCCCTGAAGATGAGGCCAGGTCCCCTCACTCCACACGTGGATTTGTCCAGGGTTGGAAAACTGGCAAGAGAGGCAGGAGTTGGTCTCTCACCTGGACGCCCTCGATGACCACACCCCTGAGCCAGGCCAGCCACAGGGCAGGTGTCCTCACCCGGAATCTCTGCTGGG